TGGAAGATTAGATACAATTTGAAATTATACAAATTATATAAAAATTGTTTGATGATTATAGATGGCATGAACCATAGTCATATCACGATCGGTTTCGAGTAAATGACAGAATACTTCGCGACGGCCACTTGGGCGGCGAATATCTGAGAGGTGGAAAATGACAGAGTACCTCGCGACGGCCACTTGGGCGGCGAGTCTCTGGGAAGTGAACTTTGCTCAAGCTAGATCGCGACGGCCACTTGGGCGGTGATCTTTCTTGTCATTATGATGAAAAGGCCAGTATGTTCATGACGGCCACTTGGGCGGTGAACAAACTGAGTTTACTATCCTCCAGAGAGCTTCACGGCGGCCACTTGGGCGGTGACTCTTTGGCTTTTCCGTTTATACCCGTTCATTTTACTCTAAGGAAATATTTAAATTATGCACTAGATGGCTCGCAAATCAAAGAATAATAGACGTATAACTCAGAGTAAATTCACTACACCACCCACAATTCCGGGATAAGAGTAAGTATGATCATATCATTGATGGAGAATTTATACTCATTGTAAATAGGAACACGCAAGAGACGAAGGAGATATTTGATAATATATCGGATTCCTTGTTCCACAAGATCCGTGCGTAGCATAAGTCGAAGACTCCTTTTTACTCTGTAGAGTTATTTATTCTTGATATGTAGGTGCTGGCTCTTGCCGATATGTAAAAAGGAATAAAAGACAATGCCCGATATGGACGAACTTATTTTTTTCGAATTGCTCCCTTCAGCTTCAATTAACGCCTCAGCCCGGTTCTTCATACTCGGCTAATTTGGCGGCAAGTTAGTTAGGTAAGCGGTTCCATTCTTTGATTAATTGACTCTTTAACCCATTAATTGTTCGATTTTTTTTTGAGATATTAATTTTCATTAATCTCCAGACATTTTTGGTCAGGAGACATTGATGGCCAGTGGAGAATTTCCACATCGTTTTCCTTCTTCCAATTATTAACGATTTTTGAACGGTGCTTGTCCTCCTGCAGAATCCACCATATAGAATTCTCACCAAAAAGTTTCAACAGAAGACAAAAGACCTTTTCTATAAACTGTAATCATAAATTCAGCATTGAGATTTCGCTGGAAGCAAATTAACTTACCGAAACCTGAAGCTGAACAACACCCCCATACGTTGACTTTTAACGGATGCTTGACAGTACGGAACACTGTTCTTTTTCCAGGAAACTGCCACACCTTTTTTGTTCGTTGATTTAGACGAAATGTACTTTCGCCCGAAAAAATGACTTGACTCCAATCAAAGTCTTTATGTGTTTTCTCCCACTGCAGCCGTTTTTGTTGATGTGTCTTGGTCAGTAAAGGTTTGGCCAATTCATTTATATATTTGCCCTCCGCTTCATTAAGACGTCGTCGAATAGTGGTCACATTAATTTCAACGTCTCGTTTTTTCATTTCCCGTTGTATTTCAACAGCCGTGGTATTTAGCTGAGCTAGCTGAACAGCGAGATTTAATGTATCCAACGCGAAGATCGCCTTAGATACGTTCGAGATGAGAGTATTAATTCCTTCTTTGGCTTGTTGTGACGTTCTGACTTTACCCAGCAAGGGCATCTGTTGGTTGCTTTTGTGATGATCTGCTGGTTCGGGTAATGGTCAAATGACTTTCGCCAAGCAAGAGTATCTGCTGGTTACTCTTGTGATGATCTGCTGGTTTGGTCGAAGTCTCACTTCATCTAAACAAGAGCATCTGTTGGTTGCTCTTGTGATGATCTGCTGGTTCGGATGAAGCTGGATCCTGCACCCATCACAAAAGTAGTCATCTTATTCCTGTACGGACTCTTGTCTTCTTTTTAAGATGGAAGACACCGGCTGTATCCCGATTCTGGAAGGAAGTAACGAAGAAAGAGCAATCGATTCGCCTCATTAGGGCATCCCAACATATTCGGAAAAACGGTAAGGTGCTGGAGTGGGACGTTTATAGGGAACCCAGATTGTATTCACTTGTTCTAACACTTTTTTCTGCGAACAGCTTACTAAATATGCATATGAACAAGAGGTATTAACTGAAGGAATAAAATTACCAACAACTCATAAACGAGTAAATGAAATTGAAGGAAATATTTCTACACGTAAAAAGGTATAAAATTACGAGTGGTAAAGTTAGTTAAGAGAACATAAAAACATCGTGTATTTTCTATATTAGGCAAAAAAAGCGTGAAGAGTGCTCCTAACACGGAGAATCCGTGACCAAGAAACAATAGCGAAAGTCTTCCTCTGAGTTTCTTCCCTCTTCTGATGAGAATACTAAAGAGCTTGACGAAGACGATGAAGAAATTAAATTTGATTTAGCAAGCATTTCGATGGGATTGCAACGCGAACCAACATACAAAGTATGTCACATATCGAATTTTGATTCCTTTACTTTGCGTGTCTCACAGTTTGCTTCTGTTTTTTAGTGGGAAGTTGGTTATATTAACAACCGATATTATCAGAAAGAGGTGATCAAGGAGGTGGAAAGAGGGTTTGAAATATGATAATATTTACGATCTTTTGTAAGTGTTCTGAAACATGCTAGCACAACGATCATATCATGATATATTAAGAATCTTTTTTCTCATTGCATTTAGAGCTTTATCATGGTGCTTGTTGGTTATGTCCGTATCCTATGTTTACAAAACAAGAATGGAAGAAAATAACAAACATCAATCCTTACATTTTAAACGAACTATCACTTTCGCCTGAGATTTCATTATCTTTTTATAATGCAACTCGTAAACATTTAGTTATTAAGGATATTTTTATGCATGGTGGAAATTTGGATTTAAATAGAACAGTTGTGTGCTCGTTTAATGATTTGTAAGTTTTATTTGTTCTATAATATATTATTTGTAATTCATAAATTTATTGCTTACATAATGTTTATTACAGATTTAACTGTGTTTCAGAGGTTGTACCATTAAAATTATCTAAGAACATTCGTTTATCCAATCAGTTGATCATTATTTGCTGGATCTGAGAAAGAATATGAGCTTAGATTAAATCGTGTTAATAAGAGTTCAAAAAAGACAAGATCTTTCCTGCATAGTAAACGATGTACCAATTTTAAACTCAGATATCAAATTGCTAGGATATATATCCTTGCAACGGAGGAAGAATATCTTAAAAGGCTCAAAAATCAATTAATTAGCAACTGCAAATTAAGGGAGGTCAGGTGAAGATGGTATATTTCCAAATATGGGTACGTATGCTTATAATATATGAATGTGATATTTTTTGTGATATTTTTTGAATTACCTTTTGTGATAACCAGGTGATTTATCATTCTTTATGAATTTGCAATATGATTGACAAGACTATAATTCCATTAGCAGAGTCTGCCATTGATCATTTAGTGGTTTTGAAGGTATATGATATGTTTCTTCGAATTTATAATAGGCATTTTGCTCAACTTTTATTTTCTCTTTGAATATCAGAAACATGTTGGAAAAATTGCAAAGAATTATAAATATCAAAGTACTCAATTCATGTTATTTGTACAAATGTTCTTTTGTGCGCAAACATCTTGATTCTTCACAAGTAAAGATGTTACTTATTAGAATCGGTCAATTTACTTTTGGGTTTGAACAATATATGGTACGTAAAATCTAAAGTCACCAAACGTTTGTATTTTATAAGATGTATAAACTTCTTTACTAAGAAGTAAATCCAAAATTTAACCTGTGAATATGATAGAATAGATCTTTTCTGAGCATATTCACGGATTAAATTTTATATTTATTTTTATATAGTCACATAATAAAGTAAATTTGTATATTGTAAAATACAAGAATTAAAGATTTAATATTATTGTGTTTATTGTTATAATTAAAAAAATAGTGTACAATACAAATATTAAGCAAAGATTAAATGATTTACAAATAAAGAGTTTCTTTAAAAATTCTAAAGATTTTTTATACCAATTTTTGCAAAGATTGTGATTAATACAAATAAAAATATAACAAATAACTAATAAAACTGTTATTTCAAATTCAAATAAAAATATAATAGAATTTATTATTAATATTTAATTAAAAATATAATTTAAATTAATTATTTCAAATTCAAATAAAAATATAATAGAATTTATTATCAATATTTAATTAAAAATATAATTTAAAAACAATATAAAACTTATTGAGATTGTAAATAAAATAGTATCAAAAATAACAATAAAATAATTCAATATAAAATTAAAATAAGACTTGCTTAGAGCAAAAATTTTTTATTATTTATACAAAAGATTTGAAATTAATTAAATAAAAAGATTTGTTAAAAAGTATTTTTATTTGAAAAAGTTCTTTTTATACAAAATTAAAAACTATATTAATTAAAATAATTATTAATATTAATTTGAGATTAATTAATATAAATATTAAAATAATATTAATTTTTATATAAGAATAAAACTTAAAATAGATATTAATTTAATATTAACAAAAATAAAAATAAATATAATTTGATATAAAAATATAAATATATCAAAAAATATAAAATTTATTAATTAAAAATTTATAATATTTTAATTTAACTATTTATACTATTTTTATTATTTTATTATTTTTTAATAAAATTTTAGTTAAAAAAAACTTATTGAATTTAAAATTTTTTTAAAAAATAAATTTTTAATATTTTTTTATAAATATATAATAACTAACAAAATTATAAAAATATATATACAATTTTATTAATAAAATATAGCAAAAATTGAAAATTTTATCTAATATAAAAGTTTTTAATTTTATTAATAAATATTTTTTATTTTTATATTAAAACAAAACTTATAAGTTATAGTTTAATATATATATTTTTTGAAATTGTTCTAATTAAAAATTTTTTTATAATTAATTTTATTTTGATATAAAAATAAAAAATATTTATTAATAAAATTAAAAATTTTATATAAAACAAAAATTTCAATTTTTACTATATTTTATTAACAAAATTATATATGTATTTTTATAATTTTGTTAGTTATTATATATTAAACTTTAGCAAAATTAAATCATTAATTGTTAAGAAATTAAGCTTAAAGATTTAAAAATTTAATTTTTTTATTATATAAAATAATTATAAATTACTATATAAAAAATTAAATTAATCAAATTCGAAAAATTATTAATTAATAAAATTTTTATTTTTATTTATATTGTGACAATCAAAAATAATGCAATAATATAAAAATAATAGTATATTTATAAGTAAATTATTACAAGTAAGAACTTTATTATTTTTATTAAATTAGAGAATTAAAGTATGGGAGTTTTTAGTGACAAGAAACTTTTTTTATACATTTTCAATCTTTCATATAATTTATATAACTAATAATATTCTATAATATATTATAATTTACAAATAATATTAATAATACAAAAGAAAAAAGAAAAATAAACACTAAAAAATTATACAAATTCATTAAAAAGAAAATAAAAAAAAATTAATTGTAATTTTAATGGTTAAAGACAAGAAAAAGCAAGAATTTGAATAAAAAAAAGTATTATAAAAAAATAATAGTACAAACTTGATTATAGATAATTATAATAAAGAAATTAAGATATAAAAAAATAATTATAACAAGAGTAATAAAAAATAAAATAAAATAAATATAAAAATAATTGATTAAAAATAATAAAATCAAAGATAAAAATAAGTGTGATAGAAATATAAATGTGATAACTAATAGCAAAAATATAAAATTTAGAGTAAAAAATACAAAAATAAACGAATTTAGTAAAACAGTAAAAGAAAAGAAAATAAAATATATACAAAAATATTATTATTATTAGGTATTATAATTTAGATATTAAAAAGATAATAATATTATTATTGTTTTTATTAATTTTATAATCTTTTAAATATAAATCACATGTTTTTTATATATTTTAATTAGACAAAAAAGTTATTTTATTATATTTAATTAAAGATTTTACATATTTTAAATATTTAAAGTTGAAAGTGACTAAAAATGATATAATAACTGTTATAATATTGTGACAAATAAAGCATCATCTAGTTGTAACTAGTTGCAGCTTATAAAATTTTGGAGTTGCAACATGTTGCAATAGATAACAAATAAGCATCACATACTTATTGCACTATCTCTAAGAGAAATTAATTTATTAAAGATAGATAACAAAATATTCATTTTGTTGAATAGCTAGAATGAATTCAGAAATCTTTTTTTAATTCAAATAATTTATTATTAAGTAATTTTCTTTTATTTAATAAAAATATCTTCTTCTTTTATTATATTTCTAAATAATATTAACTAACTTTGTAGAGTAATAACAAGAGATTAATTATATTAAATAGAAAATATTATTTGTTACAAATGAGAGATTTTTTAAAATAAAAGAATACAAATAAAAAAGAATAATTAATGCTTGACTAAAAAATTCCAATTTAAAACTTATAATATGACTCATTTCTAAGAAGATTTTGTCAAAAAAAATTAAAATAATGAAAGATTAAAAGATATAAGAAGATTAAAATAATAAAAGATTATTTTTCTAAGCTAAAATACATATTATATTTATATAAGTTATTATTACTTGATCTTTAAAGTTTAAAGCTATTTTTAATTAATATTGTTGTATAATGACCTTTCGTCATAATATTTTATTATTGGATTATAAATATCTTAAATATTATTGAATAAAGATCAAATCACATAAAGCGAACGAACAAGCGAATGAATGAATGAACGAATAACTAAACGAATGAGCGAACGAACAAGTGAACGAATATTTAACCAATAGAATTTAAGTGATATAGTATATATAAATTCGTATAGTTTAGAAATTATATCTTGAATTTGTATAAAAGCAATATGTATTATAGTTGTTAGAATTAGATATGAACAAGTTCTTTTAGATAGTAATTCCCAATTATCATGTCTAATTAGTTATCACATAGTTTTGATTGTTCAAAGAAAAGTAGTTTGCACTTTATGTAGAGTAAGTAGTCAAGCGCAAACTCCTCTCTACACCCTTTTGACAAA